GAGGGGTAAGCTGAACTGAGAGGACATGGTCATAGCAGTTCGGGATCTCCCGATTCTCTACTGCTGCCCTTTGGACCACGTACTGGCCGCATCGAAATGACCTCGTCATATAATCAGTCCCCACAGCAACGGCAGATGATGTCTATGGCGGCAACAATGACGTCCGTAGGAGAGGCCAGTAACGATGCCCCTCATCCTAGGGGTGGTTGGGCCAGTAGCAATGCCGAGTTCACAAGGGAGATGAAGATTCCTCAGAGGGCAGTTGGTAAAGCAATTGGTCGAGGAGGGGAGACTATAAAGAGATTAAAGGAGGAGTTCAGCACGTTTGTCCAAGTACAGCTCCTATTGGGGTATGCTTTGGTGCCACCCCGTGGCTCTTTAGGTTGATCAGACTACTTCCGAGCAGGGTTTCAGCACTTTCAAGCTCAGTACCGCTACCGCTGAATCGGTTGAAGTAAGGAGGCTCTCACCCGAATTGCCTTTGTTGTTCACTCCACTTCACAGGCCGCAGTTGCCCATTTAAAGGGAGTCGTCCTATCCTGTGAACCGTGTGAGTGTATATACGTAGATGATGTTGAGGGTGCAGTTGAAGTACCTGCTGATAAGGTTGGGACCGTCATCGGGCCACAGGGGTGAGTAGTAGGACCCTCAGCTCCTCCCTGTCATTGTCGTGTCTGCAGCTGCGTATTGGATGAAATTCGCCGTCGTAGCGGTTGTAGGGTGCAACTCCAACCAGTCGACGTAGAAGATGGAACAAGTCCCCGTTCGGCGAAGATTGTTGGCACGGCTGATGCGGTACTATCGTCTATGGTCGTCGGCATCCTTCATCGTCGGCTCCTCATCCATCAGGTTCGTGTTTGTGCAGACCTCCTCAATGACGTTATTAACGGTACTTTCGACGTTGGCTCGGTGATCAATCGCCAGAAGGCCCATAACCAACGTTTTAAGGCTGGTGCTCTGGGCGGTGGTAAAGGCAAAGGGAAAGGAAAAGGTGGTGGTGGTGGCTATTGGAACCCTAATAGCTCACCGCGGGCTGCTGCCGCCGCGGCGGCATCTGGTAGAGGGGTGGCTTGAGTGGTGGTAACATGGGCCAGCAGAGTCTCAACTATACTACAAGTATGGGCTTTGTCCCTCCTCAAGTTATGTATACATCTCAACAGATGTATGCAGCTGATCAAGGTATGATATCACCACACATGTCAGCGGCTAACCCTGGTGGGCCCATTCCTCCTTATCTCATGTATGCCGCCTATCAGCAACAACAACAGCAACACTCTCCCACTGGCGGTCCAGGTTTATCGGCTACTGAAATTGCCATGCAGATGCAGCAACAACAGCAGCAGCCAAGATCGGCATCACAGCCAGCTACTGGTCCTGGCAACAATCAATACATCCAACAACAGCAGCCGTTGAATATGCCTGTGTCGCCCCAGGGTATTATAACACCTCAGCAAGTCATGGCTGTTCACCAGATGCTACGTCGTGAATATGAGCAGCAGCAACAGCAACAACAACAGAATCGAGCGACCCCCGAGGCGGCTGATACGTCAACTCCCGCTGTGGACCCTAATAGTAGTGGGGGAGGAGGCCAGGAAGAGCCGTTATAAAGACCCCTACAGTGAAGATTACGGTTATCAGCATCGGCAGTATGTCTGGTGGTGATCTACAGGGTCTTATTTGTATCATTTGGTCGTTGTAGTAGTAGTGGTAGCGGCCCTTGGCGGACTATGTACGAGGTTCGGAGTTCAAGTTTACTCATTAATCATAGCGATGTTGTCATAAGCTGTGAAAGCAGCCCAATTAGCAGCAATCTTAAGAGTGAGCTAATCCGTTATAGTCATTGAAGCTTGGAGTCGAGTGTTTGTATATTCATGTTGCGTTGTCACTATGGGGGATCGAACAACTTACAACACAACATGTAATGGATTGTGGGAAATCGTCACAGTATCACACACCAACCAGAGCAATACGGCTCACTCTTCACGGAAAGCGTACACGCCGTTGGACTCGATCAATTGGAATGCCCCCTCAGGCGGCTCGTTCATACCGTGAGCAACCGCGTTGCCATACAGGTCGAAAATGTTCACAGTGACAGCGTTGATACTTTTCTCCCTCACCAGGGCTTCAAAAGGCGGCGCGGCTAACTGACCGGTCGATAACACTGCAACTACTCCTTCGAGGAACGGCTTGAGACTTCTGCCCAGAGCAATGAGTCTATTGAGCACTAAAGTGTATAGCTGTGAGGCACCCGATAATGTGAGAGAGAATGTGAAGTAGTCATAATATGCTCTGAACTCTACCGCGTTCTCAGAGAAGTTGGGGAAATCCTCCTTGCAGTTGATGATGATATTCTGTGATGCTGTAACGGGGATGACGAGACAGTCCGGCGAGACCAAATCGAAGTCTATCAGCTTCAACGAGCCATCTCGAGGATCTTTCATAATATTGTCCAACTTAAGATCGTTATGAAAGGTCAATATAGAAAGCTTAGTGACCACTTCAAACAGCTGGTCCTCATCTATCTCCGAGAGGCTTTCGACAGGGACTAGTCTCTCCTGTACGAGGCACATACTGTGATCTCGACCGCCCATATGCTGACGACACCAACCATAGCCGTACACACGTCCGGTAACGCCAAGGTCGGCAGCCCTCATCATCATCTCGGGGAACCGCAACTGCAGTCGTTCAGTCTCTCTCGATGACATCCTTCGCAAAGCCACAGAGTCGTCAGCCACCACTTGGCAGTAACTCCCCTGCCCTATCCGCTCCACTTGAGGGTTAATGTCCATACCGGCTCTGAAAGTGGCGATCTTCTCCAACTCAAAGGCTGTGATGAGGAGATCTCTCAGCTCCCCTGATCCTCTAGGAAGGGGCGTGAACCAATCGAGTGCCTCGAACGACAACCACACTCCACGAACAAGTCCTTTATTCGTCCGCAGGACCGCCGGCAGAGTATACTCGTCCTTGAGAGTGTGGAGGCATGGGGGTGCGGAAGGAGCACTCTTCTTCTTGCGTTGCTTGAAGTATGACAACACTTCGAAATGTAACTCGAGAATATCATCGGTGAAACACCCGACTAACTATCAACCCAACAACAACAAGTGAGTCGGAGAACTCCCACTAGAGGTATGCAAATGTTGATATTAATAATGTTACGAGTATAGCAATAGTAACACAATCACCAAGGCTCTAGGTCGATGTGAACGTAGGAGTACTTATTGGCAGGCAAACTATCTCTTATCAGTCGCTCTAAGCGTTTGAGCTCTCTTGTCAGCGCCAGCAGAAACAGCGCGTCGTTCCGCATAAGCCAATCCTCTGCGCTGGAAGGGCCGCCTGACGAGGCTGCCTTCATTGACGCTGTCACACAATCAATGGGATCATCCTGAGGGGCGAGGGAGCCGTCCACAACTGCAAAGTATAAGCAACTCTCACCGATGCCCTTCCGTACGGCCAGAGCGCCCGATACGTCGGCCCTGGGCTCGTCACGGCCTCGTTAGCCTGGGTTATCTTCAACCGACGCCTCGTCACTGCTTCTGCGTTAAACTCAACTTCAGCCTTGAATCGAGCTGTCGTCTAAAGCTGAGCTAGTAGCCAAAAGACGGTTGGTGTTCTTGCTGTACCGTGCCAACCAGCTCCGTCTTAACATCATAGACTCCGACAACTACTGGGTCGGCCTCTAGTGATCGAATAACCATCTCAACTTCATCACTTGGGAGGGTCGCCCCAAGCAGAAGCTGTGTGCCTAGGGGAGATCCATCACCAACATCCAACCACGAAACCTAGCTACTCCTTCTGAGAAGATAGGCTCCAACCCCACTGACGACCCCAGACATCAATAACGATGCCATCATGTCCGGTATGGGAGATGCAAGGCAATAGGAGGCGACCTGAACGAGCCTCTAGGGAAGGGCAGAGACAAGCGATAGGGGCACGTACCACTCCCACTATCCCTATCGCAGCACCAAGGATACCACTGCCAGCCTCCAGAAACGTCGCGACTGGCATGACCTGACAATACTGAGGACTTGCCGACCGAGCAAGACTGAGAGGCTCACGTCGGCTCCTGATCGAATCGCCTCAGAGAGGGCCACATTCTGCTGGCGGAGCTCTCGATATGCTTCGTTAAGCGCAAGTGCCTCCAGGGACGCCGATACGAGGAACATCCCAACCTGAAAGGAATACCCCGATCTCAGCAGCGCCTTCTCGAGCCACTACACTTACCGGTAGAGCTATGCCTGAGCTCAAGCCCAGCATCGACCCACCAAGAGCCGTAGAAGTAGCCGTTGTGGCGGGCAGTGACGACACCATCATACTGCTATAGTAATGGGAGAATAGGTCTTTGGTTGCCGTGTACCTCATAGGCAACAACAACAATACACTATTCATTGACAAGGGAGGGCCTACATCGGTATCATACCACCGACTGCAGTGAGGATGAAAAAAGACCTGTCAGCCGCAATGTTACGTTGCCGACCATATCCGTATCTAACGCCGCCAACCTAAAGATTCATCACTGAATACATTCCCTCACGGATGGTGTATATCTCGTCCCTTCCCAAAACTAGCCAACAGCGAGCTATACCGGTACCCATAGTTGGCAACATCAGCTCCAGAATGCATCAGATCGGCGAATCTGCCAACACCCGCCGCACTGCGAAGGATACTATCAATACGATGCTCCTCACACAGCGCTGCTTCCCGTCGAGATCCACACTATGAACTTTATGCTAGCAATACCAACATTGGAGAGCAGACCCTGCCACACCTAGCCAAGACCAGATAGTAGGAGAGTCCTCAAGGCCAACCTCACACTCGCTGCGCCACTGATGGCCTTGTCACTCGCCGACCATTTCCTCCATATTGCTAGAGAGGGAGTAGACTCTGCCTCCTCAGCTGAGTCGTCCCATACCTACCAGGATCATCATGGCAGTTGCGAAGAACCCTTCTACCGTACATCATCCATGCCGTAGATGTTGAGCCTATGACGACTCTTGTGTGCTTCCGACTCGAGGTAGTGCTTGTAGCGGATCGCCATGGTCTCCTCGGACTTGTACCTATCCAATACAGATCATAGACATACTTCAAGAATAGAGCAAAAGCCTCGTGGAGCATAGGCAAACCATTAGAACATATATATTTCCTCACACTACCCTTTGCACCAATGACCGTTCGTCTGCCTTCGCCGTTATTTCACTCATATACGTTTACAAGGCGAATACAAAACTATACGAGCAGGACACACTCATGCGTGATCTTTACTATCCACTTCCCTCCAAAGAAACCCTCACTTTCTCCTAGCACACTGTATAACATCAGGTAACCGGTAGAGGGTCCACGACTGTTCATCCGACTCGTATGGGTTCTGCTTGTGGAAGGATGCCAGGTCGTCGAGGTCACAGTCCGACAGTCCAAACTGCTTGCGGGCCTCTGGGCGTCTTATCCAAACCTGAGGCCACCACAGTGAAGGGACCCTGCCTCTACCAGATCTACATGGTCGGGCTCTTTGAGCTGCCGTTGGAAGGCCGACATAGCCTTCCTAACCCACTCCCTCTCCATACCCTTGTTCGACCGCTCCACGTTACTTGCACGTTGGTCTGAGCAACAACAACAGCCCCGTATATGCTCTCAACTGTTGTTGATGGCGGTGAGCCTACACCCAGGTGCCGCTGCCGGGCCTAGTGATAGTGTCGAGGTCATCAGGCTAGCCCTAGCACGACGGATCAAGGCACTCGGCGGTACTCTCCGACTGCGCAGGAGAGTCGACCCTCGACTGCCACCGCCTCCTCCGACGCCGAAGTGGTGGTAGTAGTAGTAGGGGCTCTTGCTGAGGACCTCCAAACCCAGCATGGAGTGGCATATATGAAAACCCTAGCAAGGTCATACGGAACAGGTCTAGAATGACATGGCAGATAGAGAAGAACATCTATGAACCTCTCTCGCATTCTACCACAACAACAACGACGACAGCATTGAAATTCCCTCCTGCTGCACCATCACAGACTATTGAACTGTAGCCAACACAGTAGTGATCGCGCAGTTATGACTATCACGACCACTACTGTGATACCATTGAGTCATACGATAATCTTCCGCTCTCTACCACCATTATGGCGCGTCGTCATTTTGCAGAGAGCACTCTGTAAAATGAGGAGGGGCGTGTTGGCCAATACCCTGAATACTCACACAACACGAGCATCGTACTTATGAAGACAGCGCACTCGAGTTGAAGGACGATAGTTGTTCTTGGTAGACGGTAATAGGCTACTCTACTCTTTACTACTACTACCACGTCCTTGCGCTTTGTACGGGTATTTGGCGTACCTGAAGCGCGTCCTCCATCGCAACGTGCGCAGCGAAGATACTCACATGTAAGTAGCAACAGCAGTCAGAGGTGCCGAGAGGATCAACTCAGTCGTCAGCGGTTTGTATAATATCACACTCCTCAAGAATGCCGTAAAGATGATGCCTGCTATAATAGAGAAACCCTTCTGGACCTGACAAGGCCAGCCATAACAACAACAACAACGGTCATCCCTAACCACTCACACTGCCAGCGTATTTGGTGACCTGACCAACAAAGATGCCGCCCATAGCCGCCGTAACTGAAGGAGAGCAAGGGACTACATCGAGCGAAGACAAAGGGTGCTTACAAATCGGTATGAGCATAGTCCAGGTCTGGAGGGCTAAGCCAACCGCGGGGAGGTGACCTTCCTTGAAGAGCTCCCCTGTCGAGATGGCTATCACTGAGTATACTGCTAGCTCAGCCGAGAAAAGGAAACTAAAGAGAAGGACCAGTGTTGGAATATATACTCCCTCCCCCAAGCTGAGCTCAGGAGTTCCCTCATTAGTGATACACTGATTGATGTAGTGTTTTCCGAAATTTCCAAGAATTTTTATATTGTCGACAACACACGTCCAAGTTGACCATGTGCATATTTTCCCACACTGCCGAGATCCCGATGTAATGACGTATGCAAGGCAAATAATAACGTCACTCAAACTACACTTTTTCAATCTCAAGTGGAAGAAGTAAATCGAACATTCATTTCGAATTTGAACTTTCATTCCGGGAGAAACTCCTCTCACTCGTCGAAAATCAAATCTCACTTGCTGAATTTGAGATTGGAAAGGTTTACAACCCTTAGATAGGCCTCTTTCCAGATCTAATTAGTTCTCCCACCGCCACCGCAGTGTGCCCACTCATCGTAAGAGTGTAGGAGATCCTCACCTATTCCGACTATATGTCTGCAATGCCAATTCAGAGATAGATGCTCCGACACCCGATAGCGCGCTAGCAGTTAGAACCTGCGACACGATAAGCATAGATGGAGTATTCTACTTCTACACAGATGAGTCCCAGTCTAGGGTTTCGTTCGCCCTGGGCCTCCGGGGGCTCCGAAGCCTGACCTGACAAAACTTCACTTATCACACTACGCTGAGCTCGAGAGAGAACCCACCAATGCTGATCATAACGGCCGCAACGAAGAGCATTCCAAGAGCAAATAGCTGATGCCGACTCTGCCGTTTGCCAAGGAAGAGATAAGTCAACAGCTAAGAGTGATGAATGACCAGACAGGGCGCCACTGACGAGTGAATTACAGCAGTGGAGAGGAGCTTAGTCTGATTGACCAGGTTGTAAACAAGGGGGTCGAGGTGTTGGAAGGCAATCTGGATGCATATATTCTGCATAGAGTAGCTCATCGCAGGAAGAGCGGCCGCTAAAAAACTGCCACGTAATGTCCATCCTTGCAAGGCGCTCGAGGCGGACCCTGATAAACTCTGCTCTGGAATCCGTAATACTACTACTTACTCACCTTCAGCAAACATGAGCCCGATCGCCAGGAAAAACTTCACAATTTCGGTTATAGTAACAATCGCCGACGACGGTATAGTCCTGATAACCAGACACACTATCCCCTTCCTCCTCCTCCTCCCCACCTTTACCTCGGCGTGAATGTTGTGGTGATGAGTGGCTGACTGCCGTACTGTAGCGCCAAGAGGGCCATATAGAAGAGGCCCCTGGGCGATATAGCAGGTCGACTCGACCGCTGAGTCGGACCGGCGTCACCATCATCAGACTTGCCGTCTGTGCTGGATTGACCATCAACTTCGTAGGTGAGCTCATTAGGGGCAGGGGACTCTTCCTTAGACCAACGACGAGGCTGGAGCTCTACCTCATCCTTGCTGACGGGTGAGCCAAAGGGTGACAACATACTGACCTATACTGAATCATACACGGATGAACCTAAGATACGCCTGGGGAACGCAACTCCTCCTCCTAGGATCTAGGGTGTATCCGAAAACGTGTGAAACACTCCTCTCAGCAACTATACTGAACAATGATGACTTGGCAACTATACAAGTATAAAGTACATACTAGTAGACTGTGGTTTACTCTAACTACAATGAGGTCAATCATAGACTCCTCTTGGTGACAGGGCTAGTAGCCATTTTCAGCCCATACCTCATTGGCGACCTTCACTGCCACAGAGAGCTTAAAGGGCTTCGGCAAAGGTGTATACGGCCCCGACATCTCCATTATCACATCTGCTAGGGCTGAACAAGAGCAACAACTATACCCACAACACGATCACGGAACGTGGTGTTGAAAGCTCTGACCGAAACATTGACAGCAAGGCGAGGGTATATGGGAAACGTCTGATGGTAGATCTCCCTCCCCCCTACTCTCACCATCCTTGTCTCGAGATCCCCACTTGAACCATCCACTATCCTTATCCTTCGCCACGTTGCCCTCAAGGCCCTCATCGCTGGACACCGTGTCGACCGGGCCTACCAATAGACCACAACGTGGAACTCGTAGTCGGGACCAAGGTCAGTAAGCACATCTATCCCTATCTATAAATACAAAGAAAATGCACTTCAACCGGCGCAGCAAGATTACGAACAGCTCAGAATCTACAGCATTTCCAGGTCAAGGTAATTTTTCACCGACGAATTTGATTTTTTACCAATTTGGTTAATGTTCTACCTTCTTAGTTAACATTTTACCCATGGCTTTGATGAAATACCAAGAAAATTAGTCTAATACGCGGTTTATTTGAAAGTTTAGGAGTTTAATTTGACAGTTATAATAACCAACATTCACGAATAATATAGAATGCTCCGGACTGTGATAGAATCAACTTGACCCTTGTACCCGATTGGCCCAACAGACATCCTTCTAACCATTTCTCTCGCCGCTCCTGCCAGTACTCAGCGCCATAACGCTCGGGCAGGGGATTCACAGGCACAGCCTCCCGCGACTCAGCTGCTGCCGCCGCCGCGGCTCTGGCCTCATCCCAGTCCGGCTTGTCCGGATACAGATCGAAACCTAACAAGGGCCTACTACTACTACTACTACTACTACTACTACTACTACTACTACTACTACTACTACTACTACTACTACTACCACTACCACTACTACTACTACTACTACTACTACTACTACTACTACTACTACTACTACTACTACTACTTCCTCCCCTTATACTACCTTTGCCGCCTAACGCCGCATTACTCCTCCCTTCACTACATTCCAATGAAGTCAATAACCCCTTCACAGTCTTCAACTCCTCCCTCAGTGCCTTATCCTGTGGGCACAGCGCTATAGCCTTTCGCAGGCACTCTCTAGCTTTGTATAGAAGATCCTTAGGCTCAACACCATCTGAAAAGATGCAATGCCATCCATTGTGAATCCATCCATCCACCCAAGTACCCAACGCCTCCTCCGACCCCGCTGACTTGTCCTCGTATATATGCCGTAAACACACAGCCTTCCTAAAACCCCACCAGCTCATACACAGCCGCCCGTCCCGGGCCACTACCGGTAAAGGTATTTCGGGTTAGCATTACAATCATCTTCCGAACAGACCACCGCTGTCTCCTCCATCACTGTGAGGGCTCCTATATAGTCCCCCAACCGTTGTAGGCACAACGCCCAGTTACAACGGAGCGTGAGGATCCTGACGATGAGCACAAAGTAGTCCACCACCCTAGTCCTTCCTCGAATGATTTCCACTCTGGCACACAACTGCCCTCGTGACCTTCATGCACCCCTCAGCCCGTAGTACAAATTAGAGTCAACAGCCAATCGGCAAGCCCGTGCATAGGTCTCCGCTGCCTTATCGTATTCCTTCTCTTTAAAAAGGGCGTTGCCTTCCCGTTTAAGATTCATCGCCTTGGTTGTGGGGGACTCTCCGAGTGCTAGGGCCCGCCGCAAGAAAGCCTTCATAAAGTAAAGTGACTACTGCTCAACGATGAGAGTAAGCGAGCCCATCCACCACCACTACGACGCCTTCCGCCCCACAGGAACTCCAGAAACAGGCGTGGACTCAACACTATAGGGGATAGAAAGTGTTACAGAGGAACATTCAAAACAGATCAAGTACAAAAAGTGTCTTCCTCGACAGAATAGGATACCATAACGCAGACACCCCGTGCCCACGAACATAGCAAGAACCTCCTACTACTCTCCTCGCCAACCCCCGTAGTAGTAGGGCTGTTGAGGCGGTGGAGGAGCGTACATAGGCGGTGGAGGAGGAGGGGGAGGAGGACCGTACGGTGCAACGGGTGGTGGCGGCGAGTACATAGGCTGATAACTACTCATCATTGTAGGCTGATAAGGAGGAGGAGGAGGAGGAGGAGCATACCCCATGGGCTGGGGTGGTGCCATCATCATCACAGGTTGTTGTTGTTGTTGTTGCTGAGGTATTACTACTTGCCCTTGTACTATAGGCTGGGGTGGCGGTACGATCTGAGCGTGAAAGACCTTCACTCAGTTGAGAGTAATGGATGTAGGTAGTACCGTCGCCTGCTGAGCAACTATGGGCTTGGCTTGTGCAGCCACAATAGGCTGGGCTTGCACTACAGGTTTATACCCACCACTGGGCGTCATCTGTATCCTACCATCGCAACCTCAAGATACTCTATAACTACCTATCTACTACCTAACATTGATGGCCCCAGCGGATTTGTTCTTCTTCCGATACAGTTGCAAGTCCCCTGTCCAGTCCCCTCCCTTGTCTGCTATTGCCACTAGAGAGACCACCGCCTCCCCCACAGTGTCATCCGACGATATCGTGTCCTTATCAAAGACCACAAAACGTAGGACAGTTTCGTTATTATAATGAAAGCTGAACAGCTGATTCCACGTAGGGTATTTGCCCGCATTCTTCTTCGTCTCTGTACGGTACCTGTATCCCCATCACTAGCACTAGTAGTGAAGCCGGCTTACTGGAGTGCTCCTAATATGACAAGGCAGTAGGGGTCCATGGCCCCGAAGAGCTCAGTATCATACAAGTCCCGAGCATAGTTAACATGCACTGTAATGGTCGATCCAGGCCCATACTGTGCCAATGATGCTGACATAATAACTTAACCTAGAGACTGCTATATGATGACACCCTGGGCGTGCGCCAACTTCCCGTGCACGTGGGCTCGCGTGCAGAAAGATCTTCGTTCGTCGCATAAATTTGGGGTGTTCAATAGACCTCTCCTGAGCTTTGAAAGCGCTCTCAAGATCGAGGTTTACATGGGATATCTAATCCTGGGTAGGCTCTTGAAAGTCTACTGAGCACGCCGATTGATTCGATATAATACATCCATGCACAGAGATAGTCGACTCACCTCACCGCTTGTTAACGGCCACTGGAGAGAGCTCGGATTAGGTGGACAACAATACAGTCACTGCACCTCTCCCCTTCTACTCCCGAGGCTTCCCCCAAACTCCCTTTTAGTGTTTACCTTGTAGACTTCAGGACACAGGTCTTTGATGTTCGTTACGTCTGATGCCTTGGTCAAAGTGTAAGGTTCCTTGCTACTGCCCAACTATTCCCAACTCAATCAACATGTCAACCGTTAACCGACCGGGAACAACTCACATGAGTGATACCGTTCAAACGGTATCAACGAAAACAAAAACTTCATGATGTCTCTGAATTTGAATAACTTTCTCCTGCTGAATACACTTTGTTGTGTTGCGCTACTACGAAGTGTAGTCCAAGATGAGGTACAAGCCCTGCCGTTCAATAGAAGGAAGCGAATAATCTTAGACGATTCCTCCTCTACGCGTCTCATTATACTCCTACTGAAAGTAAACCTGGGTCCCCTAGCATTTAAAACACAACACTCAAGCTAGCAAGCTTATGGGCGATTAGCTCTCATGCGGCCACCTAAGAGTAGACTTGAGTCGACTGAGTTGTTCAGAACCTCCTGAAACAACGATGTTGCTAGTATTACGAGCGTTATTGCTCACCTCGATCGTACACGGGAACCTTGTGCCCGCTTGATCCACCGAGGTTGGGATCCAAATAGTGTGAGTGGCCAGCACATCTCCCGATTCAGCGTTCACCACGAACAGGTCACAGACTAGGTCCTCGCTACTGCAACAAGGGATCAGCCACAAGCCGATCTCACCCTCGAGGCTGATAGTAGCAGTGAAGTGGAAGTCACAGCCGAGAGCGGAGAATAAAGGGCTGATCAGTTGGTCGTTGGTGAGGAGTTCATCACGACGTATCGCCCAGAGCGCAGTCACAGCCTCTTCCGTCACGGAGACAGTGATGGTCCCACGTGCCTCAGACGATCCGCTCTCTCTATTCACTGGCACTCTGCTCAGCACAACTTCACCGGGTTGATCATCAATTGTCGAGGTATCGTGCATACGGCATCGTGTATTCGTAACGGCGGCATTCTCCCCAGGTTGGCATTCTGTAAGCCTGGCAACCACCTCCACGAGCGACTGCTAGGAAATTTCTATTCTCACGTTTGCATGGGGACTTCGCGGTTCTCTTGAGTACAACCAGTGTGCCACTCAGTCTTCCGTAGAGACTCGATCGCTTCTTCAATTCCATCTGATCGAGAACGGATAACGTTCCCCGATTCCATTATAGGGCTGCCGGTGATTGCATCATACGCATCTTCAAAGAGATCGCTTCAACCTGCTCATGGAGGCCTCTGAGTTCTATCGCAATGCTGGATCTATATTCATTGGGTTGCTGAGCCCGGTGAGAGTTATGTCCTGGCTGGTCTCCTTCGGCTAGACTTTCGTACTTCTCTGACAGACTAGAAGGCAGGCTAAAGTGACACTCATGCTACGGCGCATTCACCTAGCGAAACTTTCTCGCAGGTCCACCAACCCGCGCAATTGAGCGCGAATGTCCAAGTTCTCCTGCCTATGCTCACGCGTGAGTCGTTCAATTCGATTTTGAAGCTCTGCTCGCAATAGACCAACAGACTCGGGTGTATCAACTGCAATACAGAATGACAGAATCAGTGTTACAGCGGTTGAAGGATCCAACACGCTAGATGCATTTGGCATTGGAGCTGGTCTTCCTCAACGCATAGAGTACTCACTTGGCTGCGACTGCTTCTCTATCACAGCTCTGATCTCTCCTTTGAGATATTCAATTTCGCTTTCGACCGTCGACAGATGAGACTGTCGTGCATCATAAGTAACTCCCAAAGAGACATCCTACTTCTCTGCGGGTTTGTAGTATTTGGTTCTGTTGTCCAAGGTCGATCATTGCTTTGAAAGTCGCAGCACGGTGTCCGGATCCTTCGATCAACCCGTCGACATCCCCTCGAAGCTGTTTGATGTCTGTTCGAAGGTCTTCCGCCAGCTTGGCCGTTTCGCTAAGCTGCAGGAGTTGTGTGATTCATCATATCTTCGACGAATTACATGAGTTGACACCTTGGCTTCAATGTTCGGTATCTTTACTGTGTGCATTTTATTTATCTCACCCTGAAGCCTCTCGCATGCCTCGATGACGGGGCATGTGTCTGTTGTCGAGTTGTCGTTGCAGCAACAGCAGGATCGCTCAACGTGGCCTGCTGTGAAAGCTCGTGAACTGCGATGCGTTGCTCATAAGGTAACTGAGCCTCGTGTCCAGACGTTCGAATCGAGCATCTGATTTCTGTAGATCTTGCTCTCGACGCCGAACGAGCTTGGAAGTAGTCTTTTTGATTATCTCCAACCCTTCGATGACCACATTAAGCTCGGGTAGCTGCATGCCCACCTTGAAACGGGCAAATGCTTGTCATTGGAAGGGTGTTCAGTCACTTCATCTCCAGTATCAACGGCTGTTCGATTCCAAGTAGAGAAGTCGGATTCTAGTTCTGAGAGCCTCTCTTTGACCTGGACAGTAACATAGTACATCTGCTCTCTTTCACATCGTGTTGCTATTTAATCTGATCTCGCAGTCGATCTGTACAACAGTTACCTCATCTGTTGCGTCCTCATGTGCTTGAAACTTGAGTTCGATTTCATCTACGTATGCCCCTCGCTTCTCACATTGATGTATCATTTCTAGTGCTTCGCTGAAGCGCTCCTAATCACAACGACAACCCAACAAGCATTAGCTAATGAGGCACAGCTACTTGTAGCCAGTCAAGACGTTCCTGCTGCTCCACAACCAGAGTCTCGACATCTCGCAGACGATCTACCAGATTTTGTTGGCCATGCATGTATCGGAATCCCTTACGAGTGAATTGCCATCTCGATGGACGAAACTCAACAAATCAAGAATATAGCGTGCAGGAGAAATCGTTGAGAAGGAAGCGGATGCCGCGGTTGCATATGCTGATTGTAGGATTGCTGCTCGCTCCTGTCTTCTGCTACTCATTCACAGACCATAGCCGCCCTGCCGGGAAAAATCGATTTTACTAAGATATATCAGAGTGGGGGCATAGCGGCCCCACCCTGTGGAATTGCTTGTACCAAATCGATTTTACTAAGATATATCAGAGTGGGGGCATAGCGGCCCCACCCTGTGGAATTGCTTGTACCAAATCGATTTTACTAAGATATATCAGAGTGGGGGCATAGCGGCCCCACCCTGTGGAATTGCTTGTACCAAAGCCTGAAGAAACTGATTGTACTAACGTTCGGTTCTCCAGGATTACACAGTGTAATTTACACTGAAGCTTATCTCGCGCTTATGGCATAGCTGCCCCACCCCATAACAATTGATCTTGCCAGGAGCGAAAGTCCTTCGCGCATCAACTATCAAATGGAATGGAAACGTATATCGTCACGTTCCTGCTTGACTCGATACGCACATTATCTACCGCTATACTCACACAGGCGAGACTCGATTATTATTCCATCATAATTCGGCATTAACCACATGTTAACCACTACACTCACAGGTATATACACAACGCAAACCTGATCATACTCTACGTGACAAATCTCCATAGTTTCAAGATACATCATCAACAAGTAACAGAGAACAACAATAAACATATGAGCAAACTTCTCAACATAGTAGTTTAAAAGTCAAAACGATCCTCCACACAAACCATGCCCTTTAGCATTGGTCTTTGGAGAGATTCAGAGATATACCATCCATAGACATGTCGAAGGTATCGTTGGACTCGTCATAAGTAACTGACATAGCCTGTTGAAGCTCGTCAGGTGTCATACCGAGCGTATCAGCCATTTCCACCATCTGAGGATCATTGTAATCAGGCTCGAAGTCGGTACAGTCAACCATAGTATAGTCAACACCCTTTATATTGACCAAGGGCCTTACAGCAAGGTCGAAAGTCCCATTATCAATAGTAGCGGTACCCTTAAAGAGCATATACTTTCCGCAATACTTCCCACTTGGAGTAGCCGAACAACTCCCACCACTACTGGCAGTAGTAGTCGCAGCTCCAGAGGAACCCGTAGTAACATCACCCGACGACCCCTTAGTCCCATCGTCCGAAGAAGATGTGCTACGGAGGGAGGAACCTTTAGTTGTAGTCTCAATAGAAGATGCAGTAGTGGCCTTCGCAGCAACCGTAGTAACTACATTAGCAGTCGTAGGAGCAACAGTAGTCGTTGAATCATCGCTGCACCCAGTCAAAGAGAGAGCGACAATGACAGAAACAACAACAGCGAAGAACTTCATATCGAAGAAAAACAACTCGAATCTGAATATAACAGAATGATCCAAGAAAAAATTCATCTCAATTGACACTTAACCCATCATTTTGATGATCACATACTCTGAGCACCGATTTCCAACTTGCAATACGTATACATCCCAATACAGAAATACTATATTACTACTAGCCGAAAAAGCTTAGCTATTGGACACAAAAGGGAGTCCCAGGGACATTCCCTTTAGGGGACCACTAACTATCAGGAAAGATTCTCCATCATTGGCTGAATGTTTTCTTGGGTTGATTCCCTCCATTCGCCTAGCACGCGTAGTTTATTGTATACCCATGTAATATAGAAGACATATGACTTTTGCGGATAGATAGGACGTAAAGAATATAAACCTTTCAGGAAGGACCGAGATGATCCTCTAAAGAGCTGTATGACGCTGGCAGCCACTCCGAATAGTGTCGACGTTAACTGGTACATCTTTTCCGAATACACACGGGGTATTCAATATAGTAGAAATGTGATGGTAGAATGAATTTTCCTGAGTGAGCTGATTTGAGATCGAGAGACGAAGCACCTCCAAGAACCCATGAAATGCTTCGGGAAGACCAGTGTGATGTAGAGCCGATTTCGAGCAAGAATCCTGATAATTCTCATTCTTCAGGAGAAGACAGACTGGTTGAACTTACCTCCTGTAGAGTGTCGGGTAGTAATAGCAGAGTTCGTAGCATTGTGGCATACTCTCATCGTGCTGAAAATATCCAACCGTGCGGTTTTAAGACAAAAAGTAGGACGGAAGCACCCATCGTGAGCTCTATATAGTGTGTACACTACACAGTGTAGTTGCAACCATTGAACCACGACAATCAGGAGTATCTGCCACTATCCAATCTCGCAATCGTAGACCCATCCCTACCCACTATAACCTGCGCAGGGGTGACCTACCCCTACGCTATTTAGCTTCAACGAAGCGCAGGTGTTGCCAGTTTCAAATGTCAGACTATGTGCACGCGTGCAAGGCTGATCAAAGTGAAACGCGCGGAGTGTATGGGCAGGTAACGGTAACTAACGTCCTAAGCGTACTTCAAGAAACTGTAAGTGTTCTCAAATCCCTAGTGTATTCCTCAGCTCTAGCTCCCCAAGATGCTCTCGATCGTGAGGCTGCTCGTTTTCAATATCCCTGTCAAACAGGATCTGTAATAGTTTTCGTCGAAAAGTTTTAAACTTTTCGACACCTAGTCAGGATCAGCAAATCTCAAAATTCTGTTGGACAATCGGGAGGCTGTCGCCATGGGAGGCTTACATAGCAGAGACAGCATTGGCGCGTGAGTCGGCCTTAGTAAGTCTGCATAGTAGAGTAGGCGGTCACCGCCTGGCGGTGGGCCTCGTTCACGCGCTGAGGCTGTTGCACAACACATTGTCTCCTTCGGGAGGGGGCTCTCGAGAGCAATTGCTAACTTTATATCGTTTGACTGGTCAACTACGGGAATGTTTTCAGCTGGGGCGAAAGTTCCTGGTCAGCGAGGTGGCGGTCAAATGCTGATTTATCGGTTTGAACTGACCGTAGGGCTTCCGGGGAGGAGAGGCGTTAATGTTTGTGAATCGCCCAAATAACTATCAAGGGTGGAGTTTCTCCTCGGATGGAGGCTCGAAGGTCAGGAATTGTACTTGCTCTTCCAAAATAGGTTTCTTCTAATATTCACGTATGTATTCAGCAATGCTCTTCTGCTGTGCGATGATCGCACTATCGCTCTCCGGTTGCACTGACCGTGCGGTCATTGAGCAGGGCTCTTTGGAAGGTCAATCGTTTCTCGCGCCAACTCACAAACCCATTGACGCCTCCTTAAGTAGCCTCGGTAGCAACTCTACTTCAACTGGTGATGTTATGTGTGGTCGAGCGCCGAGCGGGGTGTACTACTTCGAATATGAAGGCCTCGTTGGTAGTGTGACTGTGAAGTCCAAGTCATTCTCCATCAGTATACCCTCTGGTGATGTTATCAGTAATGTTGCCTACTACATGCATCACTGCACTGTGTTTGTACCTGACTATAGTAATTATCAAGTAGTTGCTGCAGCGAACAGGCACGGGACGACAACCGCTGAGTTGAACAAGGATCTCTCGATCACTTACTCAGTCCACAACGACAGTTTCTTCGTGACTTATCCACCGACTACTTCTCTGAATCTCACTAAGGGTCAGTGATGATTTAGCGCGCCATCTTTGGCGAGAAGTAGTCCCGTTACTCACCATCACAAGTATCAGTTTGTATATAATGCTTCTTAGTCTATCTGACTGCTACTATTATTCGTCTTCCCTCGGCAATGTAGGCAAGAAGAGCCTTCCAATAAAGGGAGGCACTTCCGCATCAGCCTATTCATCTGCAAACTAAACTCCATTCTGATTGCATAGTCGGATCGATCGTAATCAAATTAGAAACAAGTGTGGTGTTGACCCTACGTGGGAGGAGGTGTAACTCGCACAATGTATAGTCCTAGTGATTTGTATATCTTGGGAGAGCTTATAATGGTGGTGACACAAGGTGGATGGAGACATGTGTCACACTAGATATCAGCTACTAATTGAAGTGAATAGCTGCAGTAGAAGTTTCTGGTGGCACCAGATTCAGTGTGATGTAGTGATATTAAAATATCGTGGCTGTTTTCCGGAGTTACCCCGTTATAGGCTCGGGCTAAGGCTGATGTAAAAGTTTGCCTTGTTTTATTATTCAGTTGTTGTTTTCATACATTAATACCATATACATGTTCTCATACGGAGGATTATGTGCTTTGTCGCTCGCTCTATTCCTAGCAGGATGTTCTGGCGATACTAGCAGCTTCGGTGCTCCTACTACGGTTCCGGCTACGTACACGACTAGTAGTGGAGATGATCATTTCATGGCTCCTACTACTTATTATCCTGATGGAGATGACGAGTACTGCTCCGGCAAGCCCGCTGGTGAATACTGTGGTGCTATTAACGGTCACATGGCTCGAATCCTTGTCGAGGAGCACGTCTTTTATTTCAACTACGAGTCGAAGGTTAATCTGAAGAACATCCCTTTCCACATACACAATTGCAAGCAGTTTGAACCTGATTATTCGACTGGCGAGATGGACCGTGTAGCTCGAGAGTTTGGCCTTAGTACGGATCAGCTCCGTCAAGCACTAACTATCACTTACAGTCTGCCCACCGATAGCTTCCACCTAGATTGGGAGTCTAAGATCTCGGTTACCATGACTCATGATATTTGTGGCGGTGGGAACGAGCATGATCATACACCAGGTTATCATTATGATACAACAGGTCCTGACTTTGGTACCACAGACCATGATTTCTATCCTCCCACGATGACTCCTCATTCGGGAGGCGATGATGTGTACTGTCCGGGTCTGCCTGCTGGCGAATACTGTGGCAACATCAATGGCGATATGGCTCGAATCCTTATTGAAGAACACGTGTTTTACTTCAACTACAAGTCCGAGGTTGACCTCAAGAACGTACCCTTCCATCTGTACAATTGTGAGGACTTCGAGCCTGATTACTCGAGTGGGCAGATGGATCGTTTAGCCCGAGAATTTGGTCTTACTACAGATCAGCTCCGTCAGGTACTTACTATCACTTATAGTCGCTCTAGTGATAGCTTCCACTTGGAATGGGCGCCAAGTGTCTCAATGAACATGTCTCACGATGCTTGTGAGCCCGAGAATGGTCATGATCATCACGGTTACTAAATCATTTGTTCTTTATCCTGTCTGCTATGCTTAGTGAATCTGTCTGACACTTTTCTTGTGCCTGAGTCGACATACGAAGCACTACTGGCTGTACTCGGTATTTTTTCCCAGAGGTTCCTAGCATGATCTCCATGTGGATCTCATGGTCCGGTCATGTGCCACTGGTATCTTCTTGCAGGTTTTATCTCGAGGACCTTTAGTCGTCTGTTCGAGCGTTTCGCTCTGCCGTGTGGCCTCTTTTTCATTCCTTATCTTGGAACCTGGAGTTCTTGAGTTTTGATGAGGTCAAACTATGATTCCTAATAGCTGCAAACTCTGTGGTAAATCTCGAGTAAAATACGGGTCAAGCTAGAGATGCCTCTTGCAGCTTGATCAGATTCATTGATCCATTGCATTGTCAGCGCTGTTGGTGGAAGTGGTATCAAAGACACTGATGCCACTGCCGACTGCAGCAGTTCCAATCACAGTTGCATATGCAGAAATGTAAATCTCACTCACTTTAATTCGCTCAGGAGACTGCCTCTCTCTCTATCTTCTACACAATAGAGTGTAGCTTACTCACTGGAATTCATTTCGGAGACCACTGTAAGCATCAATCCGAGACGGTCCTGATGATAATCGCGGTCGCTACGTGACGATTCCTGCACAATGTGTGTTACCCCTCTTGAAGACCAAGTTCGCCGTTACTAAGTCCGATCTCGCTAAAGGGTCGGATATGCTATCTTGGAACTGATGCATATCTTCTGTCATTGACATAGTTGCTTATGCCAACGTAAAGGTCCCGAGATGGCATATCGGCCCCACAAGCGAGAGTTCGTTCGATTAAGAGTTACTTAGACATATCTCGGGGTGGTAGCATACCTGCCCCGCCTTACGGGATTGATCTCACCAAGAGCCAAATACACCTCTAAAAGGCGTAGTGTAGACGAGGTCGGTAGTTCCACGTCTTAGTAAGCATAAGTTGATCCGCGGGTATTATAAGCGTTATGCTCCGCTACCTATCATGGGAGGTATTCGGATCAAAGGAGAAAACAATGTCCCGCATGGCATCTACTTCACTTCAACTTCGAAATGCATCCACATCGATTGATACACGAAGAGTGAAGTAGAGATGTCCAAACAGAGAAACGTTTCGAACTGCTATCGAGGAGAACAGTATTTCAACAACAGTTGCTCCAGCCATTGCCATGTCTAGACAATACGTGCGCTCACAGTTGCGAAAGGTTATTGTGATACATTATAATTGGAGACACTCATCACATACAGCTGTAACGGGATATCTACTAGTTGTGGCGATTGTCCCATGGTCTTGCGAAGCTATATATATACCTATGAGGATATGGATCGATGAATTCATCGGTGATTTATAGTTCTGTTGCGGTCGTGATCAGCTCTGTGGGTACCTTAGTATCTTATACAGTTGTTGATTTCATTTCTTATCCGTTGTTCCCATGTCGATGTTCTCATACATTTGTTTATGCACCGTTGCAATCGCCCTGTCTCTGGCAGGGTGTTCTAGCGATAGTAGCAGCACTGCTGCTCCTACGACAGTCCCTGCGGTGTTCACTACTGGTGGCAAGGATGATCACTTCATGGCCCCTACAACAGCCGATGGTTTCGACACTCCCTCGTCCTCTCATGGCGGAGGAGATGATGCCTACTGCTCCGGTGAGCCCGCTGGCGAGTACTGTGGCAAGATTAACGGCGATATGGCTCGAATCCTCATTGAGGAACACGTGTTCTATTTCAACTATGAGTCTAAGGTCGACCTCAAGAACGTACCCTTCCATATATACGACTGCAAGGACTTCGAGCCCGATTATTCCAGTGGAGCGATGGACAGTGTGGCCGAAGAATTTGGCCTTACTACGGATCAGCTCCGTCAAATACTTACTATCACTTACAGCCTCTCTAGTGATAGCTTCCACTTGGACTGGAAGCCGAAAGTTTCGGTAAGCATGACTCATGATGCTTGCGAACCCGAGAACAGTAAGAAACATCATGGTTACTAAGTGTTCGTGTTTTGTGCTATCTGTCCTCATCCCGATCTGTCTGTGATTTATTCATGTGTCGGCTTAGACACTACTGGCAGGCAGCTTCGGCTGTACTGCTGTTTTTCTTTGAGGTGTGTAGTTCGGCTACTGCGTGGATCGTACAGTGCTACCATGTGTCACTGATGCATCCATCACATCGTTCATTTGTAGGACTTCTACCATTTGAGCGTTATGCTCTGCCGTGTGGCCCCGCTCCTCTTTCTTTATATTGGACAATAAGAGTCGCTGAGTTTGAGTGGTTCGATTCATCTTATAGGCTCGCCATGGTGGGGAAACTCAGTATGTTCTGAGTGCTAGCAGTTAGCCAATGCCGGTTGGATTTCCGGGGTCCACACGCCGTAACATTTTCGATTGGATACCAGCTTGGACTCTCTTAGCGCGTGCAGGAAGTTTTGAATGGCGTAGGACGCAATGCAATGCATTGAATGCATTTTATGCGAGCACCAGCTGCCGCCACCTGATTGACATAGTCTCCGCAAGTTGCGGACCGCAACGAGTCGATAAATTGCTAACTTGAATGGTTAACGCTCCAGATGTAGCGAGAACCTCCATCCCAACCCACACCCCATTATCAGACTTTTCTCCCAATTCGAATCGCGATTAAGATATAGACAAGCTGTACTTTGCGCATGCGTGCATTCGAGGTTCTGTTCTGATTCTCATTCGACTTTGGTTCATCGGAACCACCGTGATGTATACGAGTCATGGATAGGAATGTCCCATGGAAACACTGAATCAGCCGATTCCAGTCCATCTCCAACCGTTCCATTGAGACTCTCTTTGTGCTCGCTGCACTGGCGCGCGGCACAAAGCTTGTCTCCTCTGAATTAAGCTATACACTGCAACGCTCTTATACTGCGGATCCTTTCCACTCTACCAATAGCCTATATCAACATGAAGTTCATCGCTGCCGTTGCCAGTGCCGTCGTTGCCGTCTCCCTCACCGGATGCAGCTCTGATGATAGCACCACTACTTCCGCTCCCGCAACCACTGTGGCCCCTACTACTGGCTTCCTTCAGCCTACCACCAGTGCCCCTACTGGTTCTGTCACCTGTCAGGCGCCCACTGGCAAGTACTGTGGTAGTTTCATGGGTCAGTCGGCTGATGTTACTATCAACAATGGCAAGTTCTCGATGAACCTCGCTGGTCAGATGTCCTGTGATGACGTCCCTTTCACCATGTCTTCTGATTGCTCTGCTCTTGTCCTTGACTCGACTAATCCCTCGTACGAGGCCATGGCCAAGTCTGCTCAAATGGAGACTTCGATGTTGTCGCAGATGATGTTGTGTGATTACAACTCTACTTCCAACGTCTTCACTCTCGATGTTACTCAGATTTGTGGTCACTCTTTGGATATGACTCCCGATCAGTGTTCCAACTAAGAGTTCAGTCGGTTGTGATCTCTGCCTTCGCAGTACCTTTTCTATTCTTCCCTCCTCCTGTTATTTATTCCAGTTGGCGCGTTCTTCGCGCTTTGCAGTCGCAGCATTGTACATTGTATATTGACAGTTAGTTACTCGTCCTGTCAACTACGCATCCGATAGGGAGTTGTGTTTGTATTAATAGTGGTTGTACCAGGTGTGACTTTGAACGAATAGTTTATAATGGTTTGGTGTGTAGGGGAAACACACAGAGAGGTTCCAGTATGGGCTCATCAGGCGATGAACGCGAGTTATTAGAGACGCTTGAAGTTAGTTACCCAAAAAATGTAAGGTAGACGGGATATGATGTGATTGGAGCTGGGACAGGATAGGATTGCATGATCGACCAACTTTATTGCCAATGCCAATTTGTTATAAATTCAAATCAACCTTCTCACGGTTAGCAAGCAAACGTCGGGCGAAGAGAGAAGATTCTACTCTATAGAGTTTGCCTTTCGACAAGTTCACAAGCAAGAGTGCACCATGAACTTGAGTCGAATTGGAATAGATGAGAGATCGATTTCTCACATTACATCTTGTTGCAGTCCCATTACGGCATCAATACCAAAGGCCCCATTGCTAGGTAACAAGGTGCAAGTGGAGAGAGCCACACACAAAGGGATACATACATCACAAAGCCTGTCCCATGTTAGCTAAAAGAGCCCGTGGGCAGAAGATAGTCTTGTTTCCTCTTGTCTCTATCGTGCGTAAGATGAAGTTTATCGCTGCCGTTGCCAGTGCGGTCATTGCCGTCTCCTTGACTGGATGCAGCTCTGATGATAGCACCACTACTGCCGCTCCTGCTGCGACTACCGTTGCCCCCAAGGCGACTACTATCGCCCCTCAGGCAACTACCAAATTCATGGAGCCTACCACTCCCTCTGAGGTTGTTACTACTACCTCCTCCAACAACGAGCAGCAAACTACCACTGCCTCCTCGGAGCAGACTACTCCCGCTCAGAGTCAGCAAACCACTACCACCCCTTCCCAGACTACCGCTGGCAGCCCTAGCTCCAGCTGCAAGAAGCCCGAGGGTGAGTACTGTGGTTCCGCTATGGGTATGCCTGCTAGTGTCGAGCTCCACGACAACTCGTTCGATCTCGATGTCGCCGGTATGATCAACGCCAAGAACATTGGCTACACTATGGAGTCTGACTGCACTACGGTCGAGCCCGACTGGAATAATGCTGATCTCATCAAGTTGGCCGAATCTTTGGGCATGAACACCAAGCAGTTGTCTGAGTTCATGAAGTGCAGTTACAACGCTAACACCAATGTCTTCAAGGTTTCAATGGCTGGTGCTCTCAACCTTGACTTGTCTCCTGATCAGTGCAAGAACTAAGCAGCGGTCTGATCTTCCCCTTTTCGTTTGTCTCGCTTGCCTGTTGTGCAGTACTACGGCTCGTGATGACAAGAAGCCAGAGCTTTCTCTTGATGAACTGATATTCCGCGAAACTCTTTTCTCCAAGTCCTTGGAACCACCGCGTTTTGTTACTAGTGATACGTTACAATTGTAATAGATGCAAAGCTCCGTAGGTTCTTCAGTTGGGTACCGTACACATGTAACTCATGGAAAAGTGGTATGGAACCATTAGTGCTGGGAGCACGTCATCCAAAGAAATACCCGTAAGGGCTGTGGATACGTGAGTGGAATATTAGAGTGATGCTGAGGGGTCCCTAGTGGTTTACAATACACAATGAAACTTCGATGGGCGAGCACCACATTAGTCGACTATCGCTGTTCTTCCTGCTCAACATGATCACCCGAGATTTTCGAGGCCTCCTATCATTACTCCTCTGCGATATTAACAACTCTTCCGAGTTCGCCCACGAGAATTCGGGCAGTAAGTGGTCGTGCGTTGCGGTGCCTCCACTTCCCAAACCATCTCTGACTCTAGAGGCAGCGGGTCTCAACTACCGCCCGGCCGCGTAGCTGATTGGATGATTCCGCCGCCACATCAAAGATGGTGTCTGCGGACCTGTGAATCCTGGAGTTCTTCGGCCTCCCACTGGCAATCACTGTACTCGTCTTCACCCATTGTTTGAAAGCATGGCCATTATCACAGCAAGTGGACGAAGTCTACCTGTGCTCCAACGCTTACTCCCATAGTCTCTAATCAGCTTGATCCAGAAAAGATCTGCCCTCGAGCATCCGACAGTAGGATAGGTTCCTGGTCAGGAACATCGATCGAGGCCGCCCATCGCAGCCTGTCCATCCAATGATTGATGCTATACGGCAAAGTATCCGCCCATCTTGATCATGATTATCATCGAATCCGCTCCTTTACAATGGGGAGGTTTTGCGGACCAAGATTAGCCTCCTTAGCCCCAATATGTTGGTACATTTAACGTCGCGATGGCCCATTCCACAGTCATGGAGGAATTGAAGGGCGCAGAGTAGTTGGGCTGTCCATCGAACCGAGCAGTGGTTGAAGGCGCTCAGCACGGACGGATTTCTGCTGATCAAAGTACTGATAATAACATGCTTGAATGGATGGCGGTCAGAAGGCGAGAGGGTGAGTGAGATCGGCAATAGCAGCCTATCAGTGGACCAATCTGAACCGTACCGGAGTGGTACATCGTTCCAGAGCTACCACTGCCACTAGGCGAGGGAGCTGCCGTTGCTACGGACTGAGTGAGCGTAGGACTCCAAAAACGCTCCCATCATCTCAGAGACGAGACACACTGTACGGTAGACGGGCCGGCATCAGAGCACCTGATGTAGTCAGGGAGTGGTATGGTGCTGGGGGACAGTAGCGCCTCAAACAACGATAAAAAGAGATCGTGTAGAGGCAAAAGTATGAGCTCTCGAAGGATGGACCAGTCGAGATCACTGGAGCTGGCTTGGTCGGCATGGGAGGTATCGAAAAAATCGTCAAGCCGTTGGAGTACCGCTCGAGGACTGTCTGCCTGCTACCACCCAGCTGTATGACCCCTCAGATTACGACGACCACTAGTGAAGAGTAGTGACGGCAGCAGTACCTGGTCTAGTGGTCTTTCGTACTGAAGTCAACAAGGCATGCATGCAGGTTCGCTACTGTAGCAGGGCACCCAGTTCTTTGAAACGTGCCTAGTCATTGCCACCGTCATTGTAGAATCATCGACTCCTCCCCTTGTTTCGAGCGAGGGACGGCATAGGAATATCCGATGGCCGCGTGATCATGTAGTCTCTATCTAACTTGCCAGCTGCGAGATCATCCGAGTCAAAGCAAATGGGAGGCGACGGTACGCCATGCCGAAAGCGCTGATGCTTATAGCAGTTGCCTGACGATATTACTTGCTACGAGACGTGGCGTATTCCTGATGCCAACCAAAATCAAGGCTGGCGTAGATCTTGTGGAAAGTCCTGTAAACGCGCCTCTTTAAGTAGCGACTCACCTGTATCTCGAAGGTCCCTCGGTAAATAACGGCTGTTGATGGAGACGCAAGTCAGCATGCGGATGTCGCGTCGCTTCGCTAGCAATTGCGCTGCAGAGATGAACCGTGAGGCGATCGGATCTTCCCCTAGTTCCGTATATCATGGGATAAT